GCCTTAATCATGATGGGTTTTTTCTTTTGAAACGCATGCCCACCTTCAAAGAGGTGGTCGTTACATACGACCATCCAGCCTCATGGCCTTAATCATGATGGGTTTTTTTCTGAACGCATGCCCGCCTTCAAAGAGGTGGTCGTTACATACGACCATCCAGCCTCATGGTCTGAATCATGATGGCTTTTTTATTTTGAAACGCATGCCCACCTTCAAAGAGGTGGTCGTTACATACGACCATCCAGCCTCATGGCCTTAATCATGATGGGTTTTTTTCGAACGCATGCCCACCTTCAAAGAGGTGGTCGTTACATACGACCATCCAGCCTCATAGCCTTAATCATGATGGGTTTTTTCCTACACGCATGCCCCCCTTCAAAGAGATGGTCGTTACATACGACCATCCAGCCTCATGGCCTGAATCATGATGGCTTTTTTCTTTTGAAACGGATGCCCACCTTCAAAGAGGTGGTCGTTACATACGACCATCCAGCCTCATGGCCTGAATCATGATGGCTTTTTTCTTTTGAAACACATGCCCACCTTCAAAGAGGTGGTCGTTACATACGACCATCCAGCCTCATGGGCTTAATCATGATGGGTTTTTTTCGAACGCATGCCCACCTTCAAAGAGGTGGCCGTTACATACGACCATCCAGCCTCATGGCTTTAATCATGATGGGTTTTTTCCTTTGAAACGCATGCCCACCTTCAAAGAGGTGGTCGTTACATACGACCATCCAGCCTCATGGCCTTAATCATGATGGGTTTTTTTTTTCGAACGCATGCCCACCTTCAAAGAGGTGGTCGTTACATACGACCATCCAGCCTCATGGCCTTAATCATGATGGGTTTTTTCTTTTGAAACACATGCCCACCTTCAAAGAGAGGGTCGTTACATACGACCATCCAGCCTCATGGCCTTAATCATGATGGGTTTTTTTCGAACGCATGCCCACCTTCAAAGAGGTGGTCGTTACATACGACCATCCAGCCTCATGGTCTGAATCATGATGGCTTTTTTCTTTTGAAACGCATGCCCACCTTCAAAGAGGTGGTCGTTACATACGACCATCCAGCCTCATGGCCTTAATCATGATGGGTCTTTTTCGAACGCATGCCCACCTTCAAAGAGGTGGTCGTTACATACGACCATCCAGCCTCATGGCCTTAATCATGATGAGTTTTTTTCCTTTGAAACGCATGCCCACCTTCAAAGAGGTGGTCGTTACATACGACCATCCAGCCTCATGGCCTTAATCATGATGGGTTTTTTTTTCGAACGCATGCCCACCTTCAAAGAGGTGGTCGTTACATACGACCATCCAGCCTCATGGCCTTAATCATGATGGGTTTTATCTTTTGAAACGCATGCCCACCTTCAAAGAGGTGGTCGTTACATACGACCATCCAGCCTCATGGCCTTAATCATGATGGGTTTTTTCTTTTGAAACGCATGCCCACCTTCAAAGAGGTGGTCGTTACATACGACCATAAAGCCTCATGGCCTTAATCATGATGGGTTTTTCCATATTCGGCCTGTCCTTAAGGTTAATCCAAGAATATCGACTATTCATAAAGTAAATTTGGTAAACAGTAATTTGCAAAAACTTCAATACGCCATCTCATTCATCATCGAGCAAAGCAATTCATTACATTGGCTGTAGTAAATAAGAAAGAAAAAATTTCAAGCATAATACTTCTTTAAATTAGCCACATTCCATGACCTGGCTAGAGATCTTCCTTCAGCATCCTTTAAAGAGTATGCTCCTCCAGCATGGACCTTCTCGACCAGGTATGGTCCTTCCCAGTTTGGCTCTAATTTCCCGACGTGTTTCAGCACATCGACTCTCTTCCAAACCAAATCACCCACCTGGAATCTTCGTGTCTTCACTTTCCTGTCATGCGCTGCTCGTACCCTTTGTTTGTACGCCTCAACCCTGATTGTCGCCTTTTCTCGAAGCTCTTCAATTGTGTCGAGCGCTGCTAACATCAGGTGCTCATTCTGCTCTCGATCATACGTGCTCGACCTTTGGGACTGAACTTCGACCTCTATCGGTAACAGGGCCTCCATGCCGTATACCATGCTAAACGGTGTTTCCCCAGTGGTCGATCGGGGTGTTGCTCTGTACGCCCACAGCACCGAAGTAAGCTCATCCACCCACGCCCCCGATGCCCTGTCCAATCTTGCTTTCAGCCCGTTCAATATGATTCTGTTGGTTACCTCCACTTGCCCATTGGCCTGCGGGTGTGCGACCGAAGCAAAGTGTTGGTCGATTTTCATGTCCTCACACCATGCTCGGATCCGCTTGCCGTTGAACTGGGTCCCGTTGTCTGACACCAACACCTTGGGAACTCCAAATCTGCAACATATATTATCATATAGGAAACGTATCATTTTCTCCTCCGTGATCTTTGCCAGGGGCTCGGCTTCCACCCACTTCGTGAAGTAATCGACCGCCACAATCAAAAACTTTCTTTGTCCAGTTCCTTGGGGCATAGGTCCGACCAGGTCGATTCCCCATTGAGCAAATGGGATGGGAGAACTCATCGTCGTCATAGCTTCGGCCGGCTGGTGAATGAGTGGGCCATGCTTCTGGCATTGCAAACACTTCCGCACCATCTCCTTGGCATCTTCTCTCATCGTCGGCCATAAATATCCCGCCAGTAGGGCCTTTGCCACCAAGGAGCCTGCCTTGCTGTGGTCGCTGCAGCAGCCCTCATGAATTTCTTTCAACACATATCGCCCCTCTTCTCTGCCTACACATCGCAAGTGGGGACCTGCGTGTGACCTTTTATATAGGATTCCTCCATGCTCGAAGAATCTTCTCACCGCTCTAACAGTTCCCCCCTTCAATTCCTTCATTATCGGCGCCCTCCAGTCCTCCACCTCTTCTATCTCGACCACCTCCTTCTCAACCACACTCTTCTCCATGTGCAGCAAGGTCACACTTCTGCTCTTGCAATCTACCAAACTTTGTGCCATTTTAGCCAACAGGTCTGCTCGACCATTTTCTCCTCGAGGTATTTGGATTAATTCGAAGGAATCAAACTCTCCCTGCAGCTTCTTTATCTCCTCTACATACTTCATCATCCTCTCCTCTCGGACTTCGAACCCCTCCTGGAATTGGCCCACGACCAACTGTGAGTCTGAATGCACTTGCACTGCTCGAGCCCCGCCACTTAAGGCCAGTTTGAGTCCTTTAATGACTGCTTCGTACTCCGCCTCATTGTTTGATATATGGTAGGCCACCTTAATTGCGAACTCCAAGCTATCGCCTCTTGGCGACACAAGCACGATGCCTAGGCCACCTCCAGCCCTTGACACCGATCCATCTGCAAATACTTGCCATACCCCCTCGAGCTCCTCGCCTTCCTTCGTCCCCTCCTGAATAAAATCCGCCAACGCTTGGGCCTTAATTGCTCTCCTTGGCTCGTAGATAATTGTGTATTCACTTAACTCGACCGCCCATTTAACTAATCGCCCCGACACGGAGGGTCGACCCAGCGTTTCTCCCAATGGCATGTTCGTTCGGACCTTCACCCTATGCTCCAAGAAATATGGTCTCAGCTTCCTTACAGTAACCACCACTTCCAAAGCCCCCTTTTCGATCTCTGAGTATCTCCTTTCAGCCCCTTGCATCACTTTACTTACGTAATAAATAGGAAACTGGGCTGCTCCTTCCTCCCGCAACAACACAGAGCTTACTGCCGCCTCCCCGATGGAAACATACAACACCAAGTCCTCCCCTTGCAACGGTTTTGCTAATAACGGCAAATCGACCAACATCCTCTTCAACTCCTCAAACGCTCTCTGCGCTTCTTCTGTCCATTGAAATTTCGAGCTCTTCGGGAGTGTCTTAAATAAGGGCCCACTCTTCTCGGCCACCTTGGAAATAAAACGACTCAGGCCTGCTATTCGACCAGTTAAGATCTGCACTTCCTTCACCTTCGTGGGGGGCTGCATCTCGATTACCGCCCTCAGTTTCTCTGGGTTGACCTCGATCCCCCTCCTCGTGACCAGGTAGCCCAGAAATTTGCCCGATCTTACCCCGAAAGAGCACTTGGCCGGGTTCAACTTCATCCCATATCTCCGCAACGTCAAGAATGTTTCTTTCAAATCTCGCACATGATCGAGTTCCTCCTTACTCTTCACCAACATATCATCCACGTATACCTCCATATTCCTTCCCAGCTGCTCCTTAAAAATCTTATCGACCAATCTTTGATATGTGGCACCCGCATTCTTTAAACCAAACGGCATGACCACGTAACAGTAGGTCCCTCGACTAGTCACAAAACTCACCCGCTTTCTGTCTTCTCTAGCCAAGGGAATTTGATGGTACCCTTGGGATGCATCCATCAGGCTCAGCAACTCACATCCTGCCGTTGAGTCGACCAGCTGGTCGATTCGGGGCAGTGGATATAGATCCTTCGGGCACGCCTTGTTCAAGTCACGAAAATCAATGCACATTCTCCATTTTCCTTCCGACTTCGACACCATCACTGTGTTCGATAACCACTCGGGGAATTGAATTTCCTCAATATGCCCTGCTCCCAACAGTTTTTCAACCTCCTGCTCGATAATCTTGTCCATCTCCGCCCCATGATGCCTCCTCTTCTGCTTCACCGGCCTCACGCTGAGGTCGATATTCAGTCGATGTTCAATCACCTCCGCACTTATTCCTGTTAACACCTCAGCTGTATAGGCAAAAATATCCGCAAACTCCCTTACCAAGTCAATTAGCCTCGACCGAATGGGCTCCTCCAGATCCTTCCCAATTCTGAACTTTCTATCCTCGCATCCCTCGATCATCTGAATTTCCTCAACCTCTCCTCCAGGCTGGAGAGGTTGATGACATATCAAAGGGCAATGCAAAAAGTGTTTGATGACATACTCCACAAGAACATCGAATGCTATGTTGATGATGTGGTGGTAAAGTCGAAGAAGCGAGAAGACCACCTACAAGACTTGAGGATGGTTTTTGAACGCCTAAGAAGATATCAACTCAAGATGAATCCGTTGAAGTGTGCATTTGGTGTCAAGTCGGGGAAGTTTCTTGGGTTCATTGTTCGTCACCGTGGAATAGAGATCGAGCAAGCAAAAGTCGACGCGATACTAAGAATGCCCGAGCCTCGCAACATTCGCGAGCTTAAAAGTCTGCAAGGAAAGTTGGCGTATCTTGGAAGATTCATTTCAAATCTAGCCGGACGATGCCAACCTTTTAGTCATTTAATGAAGAAAGGTGTTCCTTTTGAGTGGGATCAATCTTGTACAAATGCTTTCGAAAGCATAAAGGCATATCTGATGAAGTCTCCCGTGTTAGTTGCACCAGTGTCTGGTCGTCCTCTTATCCTCTACATAGCGGCACAAGAACGCTCTGTTGGAGCTTTACTGGCTCAAGAAAGTGACGATGGAAAGGAGAGTGCGTTATATTATTTGAGCAGAACGTTGACGCCGAACGAGCTGAACTATTCACCGATTGAGAAAATATGTTTGGCACTAATCTTTGCAATTCAGAAGTTGAAACATTATTTTCAGGCTCATACGGTTCGTCTTGTTTCAAGGGCAAATCCATTGAAATATGTCATGACAAGACCCTTCCTCTCAGACCGTTTAGCTAGGTGGTATCTTCAACTTCAACAGTTTGAAATCGTCTACATCCCTCAAAAGGCTGTAAAAGGACAAGTTCTGGCAGACTTCTTAGCTGATCACCCTATTCCTGCTGAGTGGGAGTTATCCGATGAACTACCCGATGAAGACGTTCTTCTCATTGAAATTACTCCACCTTGGAAGATGTATTTTGATGGAGCGTCCCATAGAGAAGGAGCTGGTGCTGGAGTCGTCTTTGTGACATCCCATGGAGAAGTGCTTCCGTATTTCTTCACTTTGACTGAAAATTGCTCAAACAATGTTGCAGAGTATCAAGCTCTAATTCTGGGGTTGGAGATGGCCGTGGACATGAAGCAACTACATTTGAAAGTCTATTGCGATTCAAAGCTAGTGGTGAACCAACTGCTTGGAGAATACGATGTAAAGAAGCCTGAGTTGCTCTCGTATTTCGACTATGCGAAAAAGCTCATGGGATGGCTTGGAGATGTTACGATCGAACATGTGTCGAGAAAGAATAATAAACAAGCTGATGCTTTGGCAAAACTCGCTTCTTCACTCATTCTCCCTGAAGATAAGGCTCGAGTGCAAATTTGTAGAAGCTGGGTTATACCTCCGATTTTCGACGATGATGATTGGAATGAAGATGAAATTCATGTGGTTGAAGTATTTGAAATTGAGAAGGAAGATTGGCGTCAATTGCTCGTGGATTACTTGAAATATGACAAGTTACCCAACGATCCACGACAAAGGGTGGATGTTCGACGTCGTGCGCCGCGCTTCATCTATTTCAATGATATGTTATATAGACGATCGTTCGACGGAGTGTTCTTGAGATGCTTAGGCGACGAAGAAGCTGCTCAAGCCATGGAAGAAGCTCATTCGGGCATATGTGGCGCTCATCAGTCTGGTCCGAAACTGCACTTCCGAATTAAGAAGAATGGGGTACTATTGGCCTACAATGGTTAGAGATTGTATGGATTATGCCCAAAGATGTCAAGCGTGTCAATTTCATGCAAATTTGATCCATCAGCCTCCTGAGCCGTTGCACCCTACTGTCGCTTCATGGCCTTTTGATGCTTGGTGATTAGATGTGGTTGGTCCTCTGACAAAGTCTTCGGGTGGTCATATTTATATTTTGGCTGCGACTGACTACTTCTCGAAATGGGCTGAAGCGGTTCCCTTGAAACAAGTGAAGAAGGAAAACGTTGCTGACTTTATTCGTGTAAACATCATCTACCGCTACTGAATTCCACGGTATATAATAACGGATAATGGGAAGCCTTTCAGCAACAGCTTGATTGATAAGCTCTGCGAGAAGTTCAACTTTAAGCAAAGAAAATCTTCCATGTATAATGCTGCGGCCAATGGACTTGCTGAAGCATTCAATAAGACTCTGTGTAGTCTTTTGAAGAAAGTCGTAGCCAATTCAAAGAGGGATTGGCACGAACGAATTCATGAAGCGCTTTGGGCGTATCGCACCACCTATCGGACTCCAACTCAAGCGACTCCGTACTCACTGGTATATGGTGTTGAAGCTGTCGTTCCCCTCGAACAACAAATCCCATCATTGAGGATCGCCATACAAGAAGGGTTGACCGAGGAAGATAATGCACGACTGCGTCTTCAGGAATTAGAAGCTCTTGATGAGAGGAGGTTGGAAGCACAACAAAGACTTGAATGTTATCAAGCTCGCCTCTCGTAGTCGTTTAATAAGAAGGTCCGAGCTCGTTCTTTTCAAGTAAGAGATTTAGTACTTGCTGTGAGAAGACCCATCATAACCACTCATCGTGTTGGAAACAAGTTCGTGTCAAGATGGGATGGACCATATGTCGTCACAGAAGTCTACACCAATGGCGCATATAAGTTGATTTCGGAAGATCGAGTCAAGATTGGCCCTATCAATCGGAAATTCTTGAAGTGCTACTACGCTTAATTGTACTATGTGTTACCAAAAAAAAAAAAAATTAACCAAAAAAAGAGAACTCCTAACCCGCATGAGTACAAACTGTGAACAGTAATCACCAAAAAGCTTTGCATGTGATTAAACTGCTAAATTCTCCACCAATGTGAATATATGTGGTCAAACTGTTAATTCTCCCACTAAGGTGTTATGTGGTTAAACCTAATACTCTACTTTGTCTAAAGTAGTTAAAGAATAGTCACTCCTGGCCCGCATGAGTATAAACTGTGCACGGCACCCCCCCAAAATCAAATTCATATTCATGTTACTTTGAACTACGTTATGACTTGATCCTTTTAAAGGTACGTAGGCAGCTTAGAGATTTTCTAAGTTCAGTCACAACATATATTCGTCTTTTAAGTTTGTCAATTTCGGTTGATTTGGCGAGGAAATGAAGTGCAATATTTGAGATCGCATGATGTGAAAAGAAACAAATCATTCCATTCCATAACCTTGAGTCTTATTACATGAAGAAATGAACGAAAGAGTCACAAACATGTCTAAGCAAAAGGATTCAAGCTTCCTAGCTTCTCTTTAGTCGCCCTCAAGTTTGACTTCAACATCTTCAACTGTTCAGCCACTTCTTCGTCCAACGGTGGAGCACTGCTGATGGCGAGGATCTCCTCTTGAGTTAATTTCACCTTGGCCTTGCACTATCGATTGACTCTTGTTGCTGCTTCAATGTTTGGGATAACGTTTCTGCCTTCACCTTCAACTTCTCAAGCTCTTCCATGACTCGCTTTAGCTCAGCCTGAGTGGACTTTGCTTGATTTGATTCAATATCCTCCTTCGACTTATCTTCACGAAGACGGTCTTTAGCTTCAGCCAATTGACGAGCAATATGTTCCTTCGTTGTCTTCCCCGAAGATTTCGACCGTACTCCATCGTAAGAGTCGGCATTGTCAAACAAGACCTTCAACAGGCTCTCGATGGTGGAAAGGTTAAACTTGTCGCATTTCTTCATGGCATCGAAAACAAGTGACACGTCTTCTTTTATGGAAGACAAGGAGTCGATATGAGTCGCCATGACCTTGTCCCAGAGGTCGTACCACATGTCTTGAAGATACTTCTTTTGGCGGTCAAGAAGGAACTTCTCCCCTTTGAACTCGGAAATGGCTGGAGTATGAAGCTTTTGATCAGCAGCAAATTTTTTGGCACACGTTGGAACATTTGCTACAGAAGTCCCTTCATAGTCTTGCGACTCCTCGTCATCGTCAGGACCAAAGACATCTCGTCGCACCTTAAAAACAACAATGAAATCCATGTATCAATTAGAAAGAGAACTCGAGATAGAAGTAAGTAAGAAGAGATAGAAAACCTTAGCCATGAGGTCCTCTGTCTCGTGTTGATTCTCTACCGCTTTCTCAACATGTTGCTGGGAACCAGATTGCTGCTTTGCTCTCTTCCAATGTTGATCTGCATTGCTGCTCTCTTCTAAAGAGGTAGACCTACTCTTTCTCTTGTTAGTCTCAGGAACTCTGGCAAGAAGCGCCTCATGATCTCCACTTGTAGAATCACCCTGGTCAACAACTGGCTCTTTGCCTCTCGAAGATATCATGTTCGGCTTTGATGCAAGCAAATCCTCTATATGGCGCTCAAGATAGCCTCTGTGAACTTGTTGCCACCACGACTTATAAGCTTGTGTTGATTTCTTCGGATCTGGAGATACGCAAGGCAACGAAGCTTTGGATGAGGATCCGCATAGAACGCTTTGCTGCCAATAGTAAATTCCGTTGTCAAGAGAGCCCTCGCGGAAGTCTTTCTTCAAAGTACCAGGAACATCTTGATAAAACCCAAATTGGCGACTGAAACGATGAGGACTATATGGCTCAATGAAAAAGCGATTGCCTTGGCGCCATGTAAGGTAGTTAGACCGAATCGCCGTGAAATACCTCCATTCGTATCTAGGCCTTCGTTGATCATCGACGTACCGGGAAGTCTGGTTTTTGATGATGATATTGCAAGTCCATGAAGCGAAGTCCCCCTTGTGGATACGTCTACGGGCTTCCTCAGGGACAAAGTGTCTTGCGCCATTTTCACCAGAATATGTCACCATCAAGGGTTTGTGCGTTTGACCAATTGTGAAGTGAGTTTTAAAGTAAAGCGCCAGCCAGCTATAATCGAAGTGGACCAGAAATGTGGATCGAGATGGACTTTTGCAGCTTGTAAGCTCGTTCAGCCCTTTGTAGATGCTCGTTAAGACCGGAACTGCGAGGCCGACTATACAACCCTTGGCCATCATACTTGCCATCTTGAAGGTGCCTGGGCGAATTATGTCGACGTCGCCTTTGGGGAGGACGAACGTGCATATCCAACATGAGAGATACGCCGCCAAGTGAATTTCTTCTTGCAGCTTCAACTCGATCACAGCCATCTTCTTGAACAATTGATCTTCGGCGGAGGTCCAGCGACGATCTTCTTTAAAAGTGCCGGGCGGATTATGAGTTAACTTGAGGCGAATGATCCTCTTCTTCTCCCCGTTCCTCTTGTCAGCACGATTGGGAGGTTGTCTGTATTTGATAGCCTTCTTCGACCAAAAATGCACCCATCGATCAATTGATACTTGTCCACCATCAGATTCTCTGCACAGTAGATGATAGGCGTGGAAGAGGTATCGGCAGCAACGAGGAAGGCATAAATTATTATCTTTTTTGGTCCCTACCAGCTCGTTTGCATCCGGCACCACCTCGTCGAAGATGAACCCACTCAATGGAAGTCCTGCCAATGTGTGAAGATCCCATAGTGAAACTGAAAGCTCCCCGGATGATGTTAAAAGTGTGTTGGTAGAAGGACACCATGCCTCGCAAAATGCCTTGATGATCTCGGGATTGCAGTCGTATGTGAAAAGCGAGGCGTAAACAGCATCATAAATCTCTGCCTTGATCAGATTGCCTCTGCATCGGCTAAGTATGTCTTCAGTCCACTCCCAGTACCCTCGTGTGTAGTGGAATTCACCAGCAAAATTGATGGTTTCTCCCCATGCGGCTTCGCCTCGTGTGACAAGTCGTCCTAGAGTCGGCAATGGCGACGACTCTGTCTCGTTCTGCGGGTTGTGGTGAGTCGCTTGTAAGATCCATGCTTTTGACTTCTTGTAGGCACACTCTTGAGTCCACTCGGTCACGGAGTCTGTAACTTTTGGCCACGTCTTTGAAAAGTCACCGGTGATTGGTTCTTCAACTGCGAAGCGGGTCCCTTTCTCTAGCGGTTGGTGTTTGGTGTCGAGAACTACTAAATACTTCTTTTCCTGGATGGAAGTGCTTGTAAAGTAGACCATATTGTTTGCTGCGATCACAACAGTTGAAGATAAAATTAGAATAAAAGAATAGAAAAAAAGGAACTAAGTGGCTTAGATTGAATAAGTTCAGTTAATTGACTTACAAGTAATTCCCTCAAAGAAATTTGCTCGAAGCTTGGAAGGTTGATGTCGGCAAAACGAGCCACGTAATGTATACCCTGCAGAATGAAAAAGGGAAGCATGATTAATCAAGGGGTAAGAAGAAAGAAAAGAAGAAACAAAATAGCTCTCAAACGGCTCCTAAACAGCCCCATTTCAACTCGAACGGCTCCTAAACAGCCCCGCTTCAGCACAAACGGCTCCTAAACAGCCCCACTTCAGCACAAACGGCTCCTAAACAGCCCCGCTTCAGCACAAACGGCTCCTAAACAGCCCCGCTTCAGCCCAAACAGCTCCAAAACAGCCCCGGCTCAACTCAGACAACTCCAAAACAGCCCCGTTTCAGCCCGGAAGCTTCCGAACAGCTCTGAAATTGATCCATTTCAGCCCGACAGCTTTCGGACAGCCCCAAGATTGATTCGTTTCAGCCCGGCAGCTCCCGAACAGCTCCGAAATTGATCCGTTTCAGCTCAGCAGCTCCCGAACAGCTTCCCGGCAGCCCGGACAGCTCCCGTACAACTTTTGTTTCAGCCCGGTAGCAGTAAGAATGTTCCGAACAGCTTTGCGAGTGACCCAAACAATATGTGGCAGCAAAACAGAAGAAAGGAGAATATTTTGAACGAAAGAAAATTACGTTTGTACCTTTCGGGCAATTGATCGAACGCCTTGCTACAAAACAGTTGGGAGCGGAATGTTTATGTTCTCTCTGATGTAAGTGACCGTAAATTTTGACAGCAACGCAGGAAATCAAGAAAACGTCTAAGCCAAACAATTGGAAGCAGTATGGAAAAAAAAAAAAAAGGGAAGAGAAGCAGAAACCTGTTGCGCTGTGGATGATGCGTCTGTGGTGGCTGAGAGTCGGGCCTGATTTTTTTTTAGGGTCGGGCTTAATCTATGGATGAGGCAATGTGAAAAAAATAATAACAGCTGAGGAGGCCTATTTATAGATACAAAAACCGATCTTTAAAGGAAAGGATTCATCGTGTGAGATTAGGAAAGTTTAATTCCCAATATGATGAGGAATCAGACCATAAACAAGTAAATATTTGATGATGCTCAGTTGGAAAGAAAATATATGCATATGCGTAAACATGGTTTGTGTATCTCATATATTTTCTGCATGATGCATATCCTGGGTGTTTAGACTTCTGTGGAGTTTTTGGTTTGGAATGTAAATATCCGAATTCAAGTTCGGATTTATTTTTGGAGGCTCACGTGTACAGATTTTGGTCTCAGCATGTATGTGTATTTTTTAGGCTTATGCGTAAGGTATTTATTTGCCTCTCCAATAATGTGGGCTAATGCATGTGGGAAAAATCTCTTTTGGGCTTTGTCTAATAGACTTTGAGATGAGATTGGACCATCTCATAATCTCTTTAATTATATGGAAAATGGGTTTGAATTGAAAGAGCTTTATGTGTTGGGTTAAAAACACTAAGGCCCGCTTAATTTGTCCAATTTGTAGGACGCAAGTATGTTACTAAGGCTTGAAATTTTGAATCCCAAGACTCTAATCTCATGATTTATCTTAAGTAGCGTGGATGATCCGGCCTGGAGCATGATTAAAGAATGTCGCGACTTATTCACTTCAAGACACGTTGTCCGTGAACAAGTCTCGAGGGGACATTTGTAGAGACATAAATTTGTGCCCAATCAAATTGCGCTACGTGGAAATTAATTTATTAAAAATCAAGTTATATTTTCTATTTATATTTTAGGAATTTCCATATTTTTAATTCCTAAATTTAAATAGTTAATTAATTGATATTTTAATATTTTAATTTTTGACCAATCAAATAATGCCAAGTGTCAAATCTTATTCTTGGTAAATAAATCATATCTTCTAGAAGATCTTGGAAGATTTAAGTGGATCTAGAAGATCTTGGGAGATCTAAGTAAATCTAGAAGATCTCATGTGAATCGTCATGGACCAATCAAATTGCGTCCTACGATTCTTAATTTTGGTAGGATGCTTTCTCCTACACCTATAAATAGGGGCTCTCCCTAATGTCCAAAACACACATCATAATTCATATTCAAGTTCAAGAGCTCTAGAGAATTCTCTATACAAGTTTCAAAGTGTTCTTGAAGATTCGAAGCCGTTCTTGAAGATTCGAAGGAAGATTCAAGCACATCAAGCTCAAAACCAACGTTTAATCCGGAAACAAGCCGTCAAGCCTCCGAATTGCGTTCATATTCAAGCTCAAGTTCAAGATCTCTCGACGAGATTCAAGTGTTCTTGAAGATTTAAAGGCGTTCTTGAAGACTCAAAGCAAGATTCAAGCGCGTTCAACCTCAAGACTAGCATTCAATCCGGAAACAAGCTGCGAAGCCTCCGAATAACGTTAGTAAATTCAAAACCGGCGTGAAGAAGATTCGAGATCTACTTTGCGGCGAAGACTAAGAATTCATGTTCTTCGCGTTCTTGGGATATTTTGACGTTTGATCCGGGAAAAAGCTTTCAAGCCCTCGGATTACGTTAATTCAAGTCAAATCAAGTCAAGGAGAAGATTAAGCCAAAGATTTCGCTCCAAGACTTAATATATTTTTCGTGAGAAGAATCAGAGGAATATATAGAGATTGTAACCCGCAATATTTATTTTGATTCGAGAAATTCATTTGAATAATATTTTTCGTGTTTTTAAATTCAATACACGAAATTTGTTGTTACAGTGAGATCGAGTTATAAAAAAAAAAAAAAGAGTGTCATCCTAGTTGTTTGATTTTATTTAGAGTAAAAAAAAATAATTATGATGTCAAACCGTGAAAGAATCCAAAAGTTGGAAAAAGGCTTGAGGACAATTGGCGATAGCCAACATGTCACGAATGAGAATCTAGGGAGAATCGAGCTCATGGTCCACAATTTGGCCAGACAGCTTACACGCTTAAACCATCAGCCAAGGAGAAGTCACGGGACAAGGACTCCCACGGTGTCGAGCGGCAACGGGACAGAGCGTGAGGATGACGACGGGCGGACGTACGCGTCGCACGCATCACGCGTGGGTCACCACCGCGAGGACCGACGACATCGCGAGGACGAGCGACGACCACACCGCGATGACCGAAGGCGCGAAGACAACCGACGATGACGCGATGGACGCGAGGAGCACTACCGCGACGAACACCGTGAGGAACGGGCTTATGCGCGACCAAAGATCATCATGCCCACGTTCACGGGAGTAGATCCGGATGCATGGTTGAGCCGGGCAACACAGTACTTCGAGATCAACAATGTGCCAAGGTATGAAAGAGTTCAATTTGTTGCTTATAATCTTGATGGAGAAGCAAACGTATGGTGGCAATGGATTTCGCATAAGAATAACGGTGAGCACATGCGTTGGAGGGACTTTGAAAGAGAGCTCATCACAAGGTTTGGTTCCAGTGATTACTATGATTATGATGAAGCTCTGTCTCAAATTAAGCAAGTTGGTAGTTTGCGGGACTATCAAAAGAAGTTTGAGCGCATTGCTAGTAGGTGTCGGATTGGCCCGAGAGTGCGCTAGTTGGGGCGTTTGTTGGGGGACTAAAAGTTGAATTGACGGCTGAAGTAAGGATGGATACGCCGAGATCGATGCGAGCAGCCATGGAGTCGGAGAGATTACATGAGGATCATCTCGTAGCGGTACGCAAGGCCAGACCGAGCGACGTGCCCATGGAGCTTAGGCGCACGCACGCCGCGACCGAGGAACAAGGGCCACGGATCGAGAGTAAGCCGTTGGGTGATGTGGTGCGAACACCAAGAAATGTGCAGCGGCTTACGGACGACGAGATGCAGTAGCGAAGAGAAAAAGTCCTATGCTACACGTACAACGAAAAATTCACGCCAGGCCACAAGTGCAAAGGTAAGGAAGTATTTTTGTTGGAATTTGAAGAGGATTGTGTTGGTGAAGAGGATAAGCCACAGGAGGAGTCTTTGTTACATTTGGTTAAATGCAAAAAGTGTGGTCCGAAGATGATCTGGTTTACTGCTGAGATAAAGGATATGCTGCTGGAAGTGTTGGTGGATAGTGGGTCGAGTTTAAATTTTATTGACGAAGGAATAGCCAGGAGATTGAAGTTGGAACCCACTAAAG